AAGCCAGGTGCCATCCCAACTCTGCCAGGAGGGACTTCTGAGTGCGGGGCCAGGAGCAAGCCCTGGGCCCCTTCTGCTGTGGCTCCTAAAACAGAAGAGAATTTTTTTTTTCTTTTTGGGTCACACCTGGCGATGCACAGTAACTCCTGGCTCTGCACTCAGGGGTTACTCCTTCCTGGCAGTGCTGAGGGGACCATATGGGATGCTGGGAATTGAACCCGGGTCGGCCGCGTGCAAGGCAAACACCCTACCCGCTGTGCTATCTCTTCAGCCCCCAGAAGAGAATTTTTAAAAAGCAAACAAATAATTCCTTTCTTCCTTTTTTAACATTTAAATTCTTTTTTTTTCTTTTTGGGTCACACCTGGCGATGAACAGGGGTTACTCCTGGTTCTGCACTCAGGAGTTACTCCTGGCGGTGCTCAGGGGACCATATGGGATGCTGGGAATCAGACCTGGGTCAGCTGCTCGCAAGGCAAACGCCCTACCCGCTGTGCTATCGTTCTGCTCCAGCCCTATTTAAATTTTTTTCAATTTGGGGACCAAACTCATCAGTGCTCAGGGCTCACTCCTGGTTCTGCACTCAGGGATCACACATGGCAAGGTGCAGAGGTCCAAAAGTGGCACTAAGGATTGAACCCAGGTCGGCCCACCTGCCAAGCAAGCGCCCTCCCTGCTGAACCGTCTCTCTCGGGCCCATCTGCTGATAGGCCACACCTGGCGGTGCTCAGGGCTGGCTCCTGGCTCTGTGCTCAGGGATCACTCCACGTGAGGCCTGGGGAATCCTGGGAGCTTCGGCTGTGTGCAGCGCAAGGGCCGTGACCCTGTGCTCTGTCTCCTGCCCACGTTGCTGCTTGCTTCCTTGCTTCCTTCTTGAGGGGAGGCAGGTTGGGGCCACACCCGGCAATGCTCAGGGTTACTCGTGCTCAGGGGACCAGTAGGGGATGCTGAGGACTGAACCCAGGTCAGCAAGCAGCCTTGTGTGTGGGAGGGGGCCCTGGGCTCCATCCCTGGCAGTGCAGAAAACAGAGAGAGATGTGAAGCCATGACCTAGAGGGGGCTTCTTCCACCAACAGTCTCGGGGAGAAATCAGGAGACTGTGACAAGCGACAGACCACACACACACACACACACACACACACAGAGGCTGCAACTTTGCAGGGAGAAGGGACAATTGGACAGGGCACTTGCTTTGCATGAACCTGACCGGGGTTCGATCCCCCAGCATCCCAGTGGGCCCATGAAAACCACTGGGAGTAATTCCTGAGTGCAGAGCCAGGAGTAATTCCTGAGCATTGACGGGCGTGGGCAAAAAAGAGAAAGAGAAAAGGGAGGAAAAGAAGGAAGCAGCAGCAGAGGGGACTTGCGTCCCTGGGTGTCGCTGAGCTGCTTGCGGGGTCCGGGCCGGGGTCCACGGGGGACACGCGCTGCAGCATGGATCCATGGCCCTGGCGGCTCTCAACAGCGGCCTCAGCGGCCTTCCAGGCCCGGCGGTTGCTTAAGGCTGTGCTGCAATCAGGCGCCCTCAGGAGTGGGAAGTCCAGAGTTCTCCCCGTTTCTGGGAACAGCCCCCCGCCCCCCCCTCCCCGCACCCACTCCACTGGCAGCCTCATGACATGGGGTCAGGCTCGCCCGGATTTCACAAAGGCCTGGCCTGTTCCCAGCACAGCTGGGAGGGTTCAGCCCTGGGGGAGCGGGGACACAGCAGCCCTCCTCCTCCCAGCCCCCTCTCCCCCCCAGAGCCCCGCAGAGAGCCGCACTTGTCTCTGCTTGCTCGCGTGGGCCGGCTGGCCGAGAGCGTCCTCTGGATCCCACAGGCAGCCCAGGCCCCGGGGAGCAGCCGGCCCCCACCAGACAGGAAGGTCCAGGCTCGGGCGCAAAGCTGCCCGGTGGGCTGGGAGCTGGTAGTTATTTAGATTCCCGTGAGGACAGCTGGGACTGGAATCCCGGAATCAGCCATCCCCTCCCCACCCCTCCCTGGGGAGTGGCTGCAGGCACACTTGGGGCTGGGGTTCTGGGTGGTGGGAGGGTTGGGCTGAAGTCAGCCTCCTCTCTCTCTCTCTCTCACACACACTCTCTCTCTCTCTCTCTCTCCCCTCTCCTCTCTCTGTCCTCTCCTCTCCTTTCTCTCTCCTCTCTCCTCTCCTCCTCTCTCTTTCCTCTGTCTCTCTCTCTCTCTGCACCTCTGGAAGCACCCACCCTCCACCCAGGTCTCAGTTTCTCTGTCTCTAAAATGGGGACACTTTCTGCCCCAAAGTCCTTCACCAGGCATCGAATGTGGGGCAGCGGGACTGGCTCCTATGGGTGATGGGCAGGGATAGGGCTCGGGAAGGAGCCTCTGGGACACCCCCAGCAGTCCCTGTTTATTTTCCAGAACATTCATTACTTCAGTTGCATGCACTAAATCTCAGGGCAGCCCACTGGCAGTGTCCCGGCCCTGGCACCCAGATGTGTGCGGGAACGAGTGCCACAGGCGGGGGGGGGGGGGGGGGGGGGGGGGGGGGGGGGGGGGGGGGGGGGGGGGGGGTGGCCCGAAGCAGCGGGGGCGGGATCCCTGGACAGAGGGAGCTGGCGTGCTGCAGAGCGAGGTGCCGTCTGGAGCGGGGCCCTCCGCTCCCCCGGGGCCAGCAAACTTGATCCACTCACAGCCGGGAAAGCGTCCGAGCCTGGCTAGCAGCTTCCCCTGCAGGGTCAGTGACCCCCAGTGACGACCGACTCCCTTCCCCCTTCCCCCCTGCCCCCCCCCCCCTCGCCTGCCCCTCCAGGAGCCCCAGGCGGGCGGGTCCACCCTCTCTCCTCCCTCTCCGCCCCCCACCCGAGGGAGGTGCGCCTGGCAGCCTCCCGGCCGAATTTCCTGGCACTGGGCTGAGAATAAACAGCTCTCTGCGCCTGTCATCCCGTTGCTATGGCGACCGGCTCCGCGGGCGGCGGGGCGGGGCCTCCGGGGGGCGGGGCCTGTGGTGGGCCTACGGCGGAGGCGGGGCCTGCGGTGGGGCGGCCCTATGGCGGGGCGGGGCCTGCGGGGGCGGGCCCGCGGAGGGCCAATGGCGGGGCGGGGCCGCGGAGGGCGGGGCCCGGCGGGCGCGCACGCTCGGCTCGGCTCGGCTCGGTGGCGGCGGCGCGGCCGGGGAGGTGCCTCCTGCCCGGCCCGGCGCGGACATTCTTCGCATAGCTCGGCCAGGGCTCCCGCGGGCTCCGGGAAGTGACTCTTCCTGGCAGCCTGCAGCCTGAAGCGGCGCGCTGGCTCTCCGGGCCAGGCGGGGCGGGCCGCGGCCCGGGCGCGCGGGGCGCCGGCCCCCGGGAGCGCGTGACCCCGAGCTGTCCCTCGCTGACCCCGAGCTGCCCCTAGCCCCCCCGCGCTGCCCGGCCCGCGCTGTCCCGCCGGGACTTTTCCCCATCCCCCATCGCCCCGCGGAGTCCCGGCCCCCGCGCGCGCGCGGTCGGACCCCGGCTGCCCAGACCGCAGCCTCCCGCCCCCTCCCTCGGCCCCCGGCCCAGCCTCAGCATCCCGCAGGGCCCGAGCGTTTCTTTCTGTTTTGCTTTTGGGCCAGCCACGCCCGGCGTGCTCAGGAGTTCCTCCCGGCGGCCTCCGGGGACCGTCCCGGTACCGCGTGCGAGCGAGCGCCCTGCCCGCTCACTTTCACTTCGGTCTCCGGGGCTTCCTGGGTGCTGCTCGCAGAGTGACAGGGCTCAGGCCGCCAACACTCCCCTCCCGCGGGCCCAGCTGTGCGGCCCCGTGTGGTCTCCAAGCCCTGCGGGACTCCCTCCACAAATCTGAACCAGGTGCACCCCGCCCCGGCGGCTGGGGCAGAGACCCTCCCCCTTCCTCAAGCCCCTGGAGGGAGGGGAATGGCTCCTGGGACGGGGGGTGCAGTGAGGGGTCCCAGGCAGCAGTTTGTCCCCGCCATCCCTTTGGGGGCTTGCCCCACCAACCCTCCCCGGATTCAGCTTCCTGGTCTGCAAAACTAGAGGGGCTAATGCGGTGGAGAGATGAGAAAGGTCTGGAGGAGGTTTGTCAGTCCCTCTCTGCTGGGTGCCCCTGAACACTGGTCAGCCTGGCGCAGCAGGCACGCATGGGGAGCTATTAGCCCAGGTCCAGGGGCAGGACAGGCTCTATTTCTCGGGGCCCTGCTGGTCACACTTGGGTCCTCCTAACCCAGCGCTGTAGCTCCCGCGCCTGACCCCTTTGTCCAGGGGACGTATTTTCCCCCAGAATCCAGGAGCGGGGAAAGAGTGGTTTTGTTCATTTCCTCTCTGGGTCGCCTCTGGACAGATTCCTGGATGACCCATGACCAGTCAGGCACCAGGTAACAGGCAAGGGGCTTGTGGGGCATTTCTGTAGGAGTGCAGGAGAACTGTGGCCCAGCTGCCAGGTCAGGACCAGAAACGCCCTGGAGTGTCCCGGGGTTCCCTCTTGGAGGTGAACCCCCTCGCGCTACAGCCTGGGGGGGGGGAACAGCACTGCATGAGCACTTGTCCCCTCAGGGAGCAGTGAGGTGCTGGGATGCCCAGTTCCAGCCCTGACCTGCTCACCTTCCAGAGGCGTGTCCTGGATGGAGGTCTCCCACTGGACCAGAAGTACCTAAGCCCCCTTCTAGGTATCAGGGGACACTCTACGTGCCCACTTGCAGGATGGGTGGCTAATAGCTGGCTGGGGGCTTGCAGGTACCTGGGATTGGAGTGGCCGGACTAGGCAATGGGGGCTTTTGGGGGGGCAGCCTGGTGGCCCACCTGCCACTCAAACCGGAGCCCCGAGGAGTTGGGAGACACGGAGCAGGGACCCCTCGCCATCTGCCCGGGGACTCCCCTGTCCTGGAAACCAGCCTAGGTCACTGGTCACTGCCCAGGTCCTGGCGTGAGTTCTGGGAACCCTCTGAAAGCTTTCACCGCGGGCGAGAGCTGGAAGGGCTTCCTTCGAACTGGCTTTGCATAATTCTGGTCAGACCTGAACCAGACTGGCAGGAATCACCCCTTCTGGCACGGCTATTGGTGATGCTGAGACCGCGGGGCGGCCGGGATGGCGGTGTGCACGGCGAGGGGGGGAGGGGGGAGAGAAAGCAAGGCACAGAGGAAGGGGCAAGGCCTGAGCCGTGCTTTTCATTAAAAAATAGTGCTCTTTATTATAAATTACTGAAAGACTTCTCTGAATATAAATATAAATATGTGCAAAGTTTGACTTGGATGGGTATTTTGTTCACTTCAAGCATCTCCGAACAGCCTCGAAGGCCTGGGGGGAGGGGGACTAGAGGTGGAATCTTTATAAAAGACAGAGTGATTGAGGCAGATTGTAAACATTATTACAAAACAATGACGGTAAAACTGAACAAAATAACAGAAAAATAAACACCCCAACTCACTGCTGCCGCCCCCAATACCTGACACAGAAAACTTTGTGTTACCCCCCAAACGCGGTTCCAGGTAATTCCCCTGCGGCTACATTCCTGTAAGCATCTCTGATCAGTGCTGGGGGCGGGGCAGCGGGGGCTGGAGGCAGCGCCCTCCCCCACCCCCAGGAAGGGGGGGGGAACGTGAGACCTGCTTCCCCGCCCGTGCCACCGAGGGTGGGCAGTGGGGCCCCCAGAACCCCCCACCTCCGGCGGGGCCGGCTGAGTGCGGCCTTCCGTGTGCCGGCCCCGATCCCAGGACAGGGAGCATTTAAGGCAAATCTCCTGGCAGCAAGGAGGCTCGAAGTGGGGGTCCCCATCGTGGGTCAGGGGTCAGAGGCGGCTACTCACTGCGTCCCCCAAGGGCAGAGGACAGTGCAGCACCCGGGCAGCCCCATGGCTTCTCCCTTAAAACGGAAGAAGGCGCCTGGACTCGGGGTGAGCCGGCTCTGGGCTCTGGGCTGGGGGCATACCCCCGGGGAGGCTGAGGGGGGCCCTCCCCCGCAGCCGGCGGCCACCCCCCCTCCCCGGGCTGGGGCCCCCCCCCCCTCGTCGTGGTGGCCGCTTCCTTGACCGGCCTGCTGTCCCTGGGGACCCCCCGCACCTCTTACCTACCCTTCCCCAGGCCTGCTCAGGTTTAAAGCTCGTTTCCGACCCAACAAGTTCCACTGGGAAGTCTGCAGACCCCCATGCCTGGCAGTCCTCCGGCGCCCCAGGTGTGTCGGCAGAGGCGCAGGGGGGCGGCGCGGGCCCCCGAGGGGCGCTCAGGACGCCTTCCAGCTCCGTGGGCTCCGTGGGGCTGCGGCCGGGCTGTCCTGCCCGATTCGTGTGTGCTTACACCAGACACGGCCGGGGGGCGGGCACCCGGGCGGCGGCTCCCTAGAGCGGGGCGTCATACTGATCCAGGAACTCGCGGATGGGCCCGGGCAGCTGGGTGACCTTCTCGTAGGCGCCCAGGTGACCGTTGACCGTCTTCCGACAGAGATGCTGGAGCGTGGCCACGTTGGAGGAGAGGGGCCGGCTCAGGACCAGGGGGATCTTCTCGCCCCCCGAGTAGATGTAGTAGGCTCTGCGGGGCGGCGCCCCGGGGGGCGGCGGCGGCGCGGCGGGTTCGGAGGGCGCCGGGGGCGCGGCGGGGGCGCCGGGGGGCGGCATGTAGTGGTGCACCAGCTTGAGCACGCAGTCGAAGCGCGGCACGGGCTGCGTGCTCCGGGGGTCGCTCTGCAGCGCGAAGCTGCCGCCCTCGCACTGGATGCGCAGGTTCTTGGTGCCCGACTGCGTCTTGACGCTGAGCGTGAAGAAGTGGCGCTGGTCCGAGCTGTCGCGGATGAGGAAGGTGCCGGCCGGCTCGGCGCTGAGCAGGAGGTTGGCCTCGCCGCCCGTCACGGCGCTCCAGTAGAAGCCGCTCTCCTGCAGCTTGCGCACGGCGTTCACCACCAGCTGGTACTCGCTCTTGGAGCTGAAGGTCTTGAGGCGCAGGCTGGCGTCCAGCGGGCGGCTCATCCCGGCGGCGGGAAACTTGCTGTGGGTGACCATGGCGCACGGAGCCGGCGCGGGTCTGCGCGGGTCTGCGCGGCGGCGGCGGCGGCGGCGGCGGCGGCTCGGCGGCTCGGCGGCCTGGCCCGGCGGCCGCTACCGCATCCCGGGGGGCTGCGGGGAGGAAGGCGCCGCGTGAGTGCCGGGAGCGCAGCCGGGGCGCGGGGCGCGCGGGGGCCCCGGGGACGCGGCGCGCGCCGGGGCCCGGGGGAGGGGACCCGCGCGCGCGGCCCGACGGCGCCGTGCCGGGAGCCCGGACCTCCGCCCGGGCCCGGCTTCGGCGCGCCCTGCCGGGAACGGCCCGCGGAGGGGAGGGCAGGGAGACCGGGAAAGGCGCACCCCTGCCCGGCCCGCGCGCCCCTCCGTGGATCCTACCTGGTCCCCAAGTGCGATCGCGGCGGCGGCGGCGGGCCTGGGGCTGGGGCTGGGGCTGCGCGGCGGCGCCCACCGGGGCCCGCGCGCGCGTCCCGGCTCGGCGGGCGCCCCCGCCCCCTGCGCCCCGGCTCGGCGGGGCAGGCGCGGCGCGGCGCGGCGGAGCGAGCGGGCCGGGCCGGACCGGGCGCGGCGGCAGCGGCGGCGGCGGCGCGGGCAGGCGGCGCGGGAGTCGGCGGGGCCGCGGCCCGCGCGGGTATATAGCGGCGCCCCGCCCCCCGGTTCCTGGAAGCGCGGCCGGCCTTTCTGTAATGTTTAGTCACTACGCCGGCGGGGAGGGGCCGGGGCGGGCCGGGGCTGCCCGACCGCGCGCCCAGACAAAGCGCCGCGCTGGGCCGCCCGGCAGCTGCGGGGCGCAGCGCCAGCCCCGGCGGCGCGTTCCTGGCAGCGGCCCCTCCCCCGCCCCGCCCCGCCCCCCGCCCATTCACACTTTCCCCCTCCCGGCGCTTTCGGGCAGGGGCGGGGGCGCGCTGCCGGGAGGCGGGCGCGCGAGGGAGGCGCGGGGCCCGCTCGGACCCGCGCGGGCCCCCAGCCCGGGCCGCCCGCGTGGCGCCCGCCCGCCCGTCGGCCCGCCGCGCGGCTCTCCACGGCCGCGCCGCCCGGGCCCCGGCCCCCACGGACCGAGCCGGCCCCGCGCGTCGGGGGCTCCTCGCGCGTCCCTGGGGCCGGGCCGGGCCGGGCCGGGACCACACCCCGCGCGCGCCGCGCCCGCTAGAGGGCGCCCCGGAGTCGGAGTGGAGCGCCGCCGGGACGCGCGCGCCCCGGGGACTTTGGGGGCACCTGCCCGGGCAGCGGTGACGGTGGCGGGGGCCTGCGCGAGCGACCACGCAGGTTTCCGGAAAGTCGTGCCCAGGGCTGCGCTCTCATCGCCCACAGGGCTCTCTCGGGGATGGAGGCGCTCCCTCCTTCCCTGCGGGGGACCGACCCGGTGGTCACTTCCGTGCCAGTGACCTGGCCCCTGCCTAGAGCCCTCCTCCTCCTCCTCCTCATTCTCGACGGGAGCGGGAAGCCCCCACCCCGCCCGCCTCGGTGGGTCCTGGCCCCCTCCCCAAAGACTGCGGGGACCAGCTGCGGTCTGAGCACGACCCCCCAACCTCTTTGGGGTTCTGTGTGACCTGGAAAACAGGACTGGTGGCCTTCCCTCTCCAAACCCCAAACTAAGCATTAAAAGGATGGAGGGGCCGGAGCCAGGGCACAGCAGACAAGGCATTTACCTTGCACACTGCCCACATGGGTCCGATCCTCAGCACCCGCTATAGCCCCCGGAATCCCACCAGGAGTGATCCCTGAGCACTATGCCAGGAGTAAACCCAGGGCACCTCTGGGTGTGACCCCGAACCCCAAAATTAATTAATTCAAGACTTGGGGCAGAGAAATAGTACAGGGGAAAAGCACCGTGCATATGTGCCAACAGTTTCATTCCAGGCACCCCATTGGAGTGATCCCTCAGCCCTCCAGGAGTGACCTGGGAGCACAGCCGGGAGTGACCCCTGAGCCCAGCTGTAGGCAACCCCTGCCCCCACCCCACACAAACTGGTAGGTCTGCCACGGAGGGCCAGAGAGACAGTGGATCTGGTCGAGAGCTTGTCAGCACACAGCCAACCCGTGTTCACTCCCCGGCATCCCATAGGGTCCCCCAGCACCTCGAGGAGTAATTTCTGAGTGCAGAGCCAGGAATAAGCCCTGGGTATCGCCAGGTGTGACCCCAACCCCTCTCCACCCTCCAAAAAGAAGGTGCCACAAGGGTCCGCATTCTAGTTCGTTCTGCCTTGGCTGCTCTGGTGTTGTGTTGGGGTGCGTGATGCCAGGGCGGGGTGGGGGGGCGGTTCCTCTTGGTAGGTGGCAATTGCTCCTGGCCAGCTTTCTCTGGCCCTTTGAGCCATCTCCCCTTTGGGTACCGTTTGGCCAGCAACAGGGACCAGGAGTCTGCTGGCCCCTGGGCACTGGGCATGGCACCAGGCTGCCAGCACAGCACGTGTCTGGCTTTATGTAGTGGCAGTGTGCTGGACACCTAAGGTGCTGGGCACTGGTGGGGGCACAGGGAATAGTGTGTGACACAAAAGCCCCTGGGCAGGGCCTGCTAACCCAGTGAGCCCAGCCCCAGCCCCAGGCTGGAATTTTTTTTTTTTTTTTTTTGCTTTTTGGGTCACACCCTGTGATGCACAGGGGTTACTCCTGGCTCTGCACTCAAGAATTACTCCTGGAGGTGCTCAGGGGCATATGGGATGCTGGAAATCGAACCTGGGTTGGCCGTGTGCAAGGCAAACGCCCTACCCGCTGTGCTATTGCTCCAGCCCCCCAGGCTGGAAATTTAAGGTTGACCAAAAACCCATGATGCCTGCAGGCTAATGAAGCAGGAATTTGGGTTTTGGTTATTTTTTTTAATGTTTGTTTGTTTTCCTTTGTTTTTGTTTTTGTCTTTTTTTTTTCTTTTTGGGTCACATCCTTGATCAAGGGTTACTCCTGGCTTTGACTCAGGAATTACTCCTTGCGGTGCTCGGGGACCCTATGGGATGCTGGGAATCGAACCCAGGTCAGCCGTGTGCAGGGCAAACACCCTCCCCGCTGTACTATCGCCCCAGCCCTCTTTTTCCGTTTGTGGTCTGGGACCGCCCTCAGGATGCTCCGGGGGCTACCCTGCCTCAATAATCCAACGGTCTCTCCCATCGGTGTTAGGGAGGGGGCGATCGTGCGTGCCAGGGCTCGAACCCTGGCCTCCTGCAGAACCTGTGCTCCAGCACGCCCCTCCCCCAGCTCCCCCTCTGGTCCTTCGAGTTCTTTTCTCCTCTATTGATTATGAGGGAAAACGCGGCCTGAATGCGTGCTTCTGGGATGAGCCTCGTGCGGACAAGGAGACTCCCAGGAAGGGCTGGAGTTAATGGACAGGAAAGTGCCTTGTGAATGACCACGCTCTGACGCGAGGCGGCTTCATTCACCGTCTGCGCAAAGCCTCAGTGAGAGTGACCAGAGGTGTTGCATGGCCTCCGCAGGGGACAGGCGGGAACAGGACAAGGAAGGGGGGAGGGCGAGAGAGCCAGGCCCCCGGGATGGGGAGTTTAGGGTCCCCTCCTCTCCCAGGAGGCTTCCCGCCCCTTCTGCTGTTGTTGCTGTTTTGGGTTTAGGGCTACACCCAGTGGTGTTCAGGGATTACTCCTGATTCTGTGCTCAGGGCTGGCTCCCGGCGGTGCTCAGGGGACCCTGTGTGTACCAGGGTGAGTGGGTGCCGCGAGCACCTTCCCCCGGCTCTTCTCTCCAGTCCCCGGGAGCTGCAGACACGTCGCCGCTGGGACCCCCGCCCAGAATGTGCTCCGGGAACCTTTGGGTCTCCATCCCTCAGAGGCCGCCCAGAGAAGCCCCAGGGGTCTTCCTGGGGGCTGCCTGCTGGGTGGGGGCTCCGAGGCCCGGGTGCAAGGAGCTGTTCCCTTGCGGCCTTTCTCACGCCTGCTCCCGGCTCTGCTGGGAATCCTGATTCCAGGCAGTCTTGCTCATACCGAGACGGAGCCGGCTGCCGTCGCCGGGGGAAGCCCGCCGTGGTCTCGGTGGCTCCATTGAGTCACAGCGTGACCAACGAGCTGCTGCTTCCCCAAAGCTCGCAGATGGGCACCCAGACCCCCCGCCCGCAGCAGGAAGTGTGGACAGCTGGGGAAATCAAGGGTCCAGGCGGCCAGATGATCTCCAGGTCCTGGGGGCAGGCCCCGGGCTCCCGTTATGGGGTCTCCTGGGCAGCCATGGTGGGAAACCCTTCCTCAGAGTTACTCGGGCCCCTGCTGCCCCCTGCCCTGTGCCCCTTCCTGACCCTTCCGCTAGCTCCTGCTTCTCCCCGCCCTTGGGGGTGCACGCGGGCCTGGCCCCGCCCCCTGACCCCCCCTTTCCCAGGCTGATTCAGGGAAGATGCTGCAGCCCCCCAGGATGCAGCTGTGCTCTGGTCCCTTCCACCCAGGTGGTCTCGGGTCTGTGGTGGGGGAGGGGCCAAAGCTGGAGGGTTCCAGGCTCTGCTGACCCCCAGCGTCTCCTGCTGGCTTCAGACAATCCCCAGGGTGGCAGGAGGCGGATGAAGTCCATGGCCAGTGGCCACAGGCGGCTGGGGCGCTTGGTGGCCTTGGCTCCTGCGGGAGGGGCGGGGCGGCTGATGAAAAGGCTGCGGTGGTGTCTGCTGTGGAGGCATTCTTTCAGGCTGACATTCCAGGCCGCTGGCCTCTGGCATTTCCCAGAAAAAGTGCCGAGGGGAGGGGAAAAAAAAACTCACCCACCCGCCTGCCCTGCCCGGCCCTTCTCGGATTGCGCTTTCCCGCTATGCAGGGGCGGGGCGGGGCGGCCCAGCTCTCTGCCCACAGAGGGGCGTGGGGGTGCCCAGGAGGGTGCAGAGACTAGGAAGGGTGCAGGACCTCTCCCACCGGGACCCAGGAGCCCGCCTTTACCCCAGGGTCAGAGTGGGAAGTGGGCTGGGAGCCAGCAAGTTGCCAGGGACTCCCTGACCCGACAGCACCCCAGGCTCCGTCCGTCTGTCTGTCCCGGACAGGACGGGCCTCTCTCTGCTCCCACCCACGCGCGCGGCCACTCTGCCCAGGAGCAGACAGCAGGGCAGCTGGCCCTTCCGGGAGGGACCCACTGCCGGGCGGAGTCACCCCGGGAGGCTGAGGAGAAGCTGGCTCCTGGGAGGTCCTGCCCATGTCTCAGCTGCCCTTGCAGAG